TAAAGTATTTTTCTGAGGTCTGTCTTATCAGGTAAATTACTGTACACAGTGTATTCATTAATTTTCATTTTCATGTAGTAAAGGCTCTATGCCTTCATAAAAGATGTACTTTTCCTTTGTTTAAGGGTATTTGGGCAGTTTATTCTCTGTTGTATTCTCAAGTAAACAATACATACAAGTACAGTACAGTATTTTCTGAGGAAACACTCATACTTATTATTTTAAACCCCATTCCCGATAACCCGGCATTTTCACAAACTCGGCCACTCTTCGGTCCACATTAGGTCGAGTTTTCAAGGTTCTACTGTACTTATAAAAATATAGGAGGAGGAAAAGTGTAATAGATTTTCCTTCTAAATATTCAATATGAACTCTTAAAATTGAAACTAATAAAAATTTATCATACATTTATGAATTCTATATTTAAAAAAAAAATTATCTTATAAAAAGAACATAAATAACTGTTATAATTTATGAATAAATTATATCATCCTAAATAAATGTTTTATTTAAAATATGTCATAAATATTATAACCATTAGCTAATAGTCAGATAATTCCTTAACAAAATAAACTTGTAATGCATCTCAATATATTATCTCCAAATTCTTACTGCATCTTATTTGCACTATCCCTTTCTCTCAGCTACTTACAAATGCTGTAGTGTAAACAAAGAAATGTTCCCTTTTCATAGCTGTTTTTCTTTATTCATTTCATCAATAAACCTTTTATATTATTGTTTTTGAATAATGTAATTTATTATCTCAATAAAAAAATTCTTTGTTGCAATAAATTTTTATATTGATTTAAAATTTTGAATATTTTTTTATATAATCAATAAAATTGATAGTTAAAAGAAAATTAAAAATAAGAAATATAATTCATAATTTTAATAAACAGTAGGAATTTTTCTAAAGATTTTATAAAAAAAAGCTGCAGAATAATGTTTCATATGTTATTTTTTATAAAGTAACTACTGCATGAGCCTGACATTGCTCAAACTTTAGAGTGGGTGAGAATTGGTGAGGTTAGGTTAGGAGAGGGTGATAAAAACAATGATGTTAGTAACTAAAATATACATTTATTGATCTTATTTACAATAATGAAACTGCAAAAAACAAAAAAATTGCTCAGGCTTAAGTTAAGAAGGTGTGAGCTTTAGAGTTGGTTGGGGTGAAGACTCCCACAGTATTTTTCTACGGTGTCAAAGAATATTCATGTCAAATTTGGTGCATATTTGCTGACGATATTTATCTTCTATACAAACAAACATTTGTATTCCTATTTTTATATATATAAATGAAACATAAATAATATTAACTAATTCTATTAATTTTATACAATCTAATGTAACTGGAACATCAATAACTGAAAACTTCTGCTGTCATCATTATTTCTGCATTTATTAATTTTCCAATAGAAAATATATTGATCTAATTTAAATATTAGTTGGAGATGTGCCAGTGTAACTGACTTCGCCATGTAACATGATTTCAATATTTTTATTTTAAAATATGTTTACAAAAACTATACATTTACAATGAAAACAAAATCATTACTAATCTATCATTATTTTAAAAATATAAAACTTACTAGCAACAATTAAATAATGGAATTCAATTACTATAGAGATGAGCTACATTCCTCAAAAGTAAAATTGTAATACAGGAGGAGATGTGCATAGCCTCATGAACATTGCAGGACCAGTAAAGATGACAAAAATATGTAAATGATTAAAAAAACAAAGATATGCAACAGACACTTGTTCATTCAGTAATGAATAATTAGTAATGAATATGACTCCCACAGGCCACTATACATGAGGCATACTATCAATGAAGCAATTAATGGTTGCCTGAGGTCTCCCTTGCCAAGCTGCATCCACTGCAGTGTGCATGTCATCTATGATATGTGGCAGTGGTCCCTGGCACACCTCACATTGGACAAGGTCCCACAAGTGTTCAATGGGAGAGAGATCTGGTGAGGCTACTGGACAGGGAATAATGTAAATTCCGTTCAGTCTGGTGAGAGTTTACCATGTAATGTGTGGTCGGGCATTATCTTGCTGGAACACAGTGTCAGGTGTGGCCTGCACCAGTGGCCAAACCACAGGTCTCACAATTTGTGTGATGTACTATCCTGCTGTCAGAGTACCGAAAATGTGCACCAGGGCTGACCACTGATTGAACATGATGACCAGTGTGAGGTCAGTGTGACACTCAGTGGAAAGGGGGCTGGCATGTAGCATTCCCTGGAATACCACCACACCTGTCCATGACTGTCATTCCTCCACAGACAGAAGCAAGATTCATCCATAAACAATACCCAATTCCATTCAGTGGTCCAGTTGTGATGCCCTATGTCCAGCAGTTAATGGTACCCCCATTGCTGGTTGCTGTACATGCAGCCCAACTTCATAAAACCTGTTGCAAATGATTTGGGCGGACACAGATGCAACTGTTGACTTTGACAGGAGGCTTCAGATTTCACATGCATTGGTGAATGGGTCCTGACAGACTGTTCAGCAAATCTGCCAGTCTGTGTACTCTGTTGTGCATCAGTGCAAACCACTCCATTTTTGGCATGTTTGCAGATGTTCCTGCATCCATCATGTCACACATTGCTGGATGGTACTCACCTTTTGCCCAACATGCATTACAACTATTTGCATCAACAAACTGAGGTCTTAAGCTCCAGGATATGGTCTCATTCCCCAGCTGTTAACTGGTGATATTCATCTGACTTTAGTCTCTGAGGTATTTTCTAGACTTCTTTGAAAGCTTGGCTGTCACAAACCATCACTGATAGCCCAAGCCAGCTACTGGACTTTAAAGCCTGAAACTAGGTACCACATTACCCAATGCATACAAAAACTTAATCATTTACATATCTCTGTCACCTGTACCAATCCAGCAATGTGCATGTGGTTTTGCACATTCCTTCGTGGTGTTGCAATTTCACTTTTGACAAGTGTATTTACAGTCCAGTGTATAATGTCACAGATCAACTAGAGCAGCTATCCACCTCAAGTATTAATATTTATATTAATAAGGCTTATACACAGTATAAATAATATTGATATTTTATGACTTATATAAGTACTTTATATATATTTATGTAGTCATAATAAGAGAGCTCTGCAAACATTGAGTTAATCAGGCTCAAATGATTTATGGATGCCATCTGTTTATTTTATTTTATATCATCAGCCTTTTTCACTGCAGGATGAAAGTCTTTTCAAGATTTCTCCAGCCTGTTTGATTAAACAGGCTGGAGAAATCTTGAAAAGACTTGAAAAGACTTTTTCAATAGCCCTTCTTTTCCACACTTCTAGCAATATATATAATATTTACAGCAAAATTTCTCTACATTTTATAAAAATATTTCTGTAACTGTTAATATTTTAAAATTCTGAAGTTTCATAAACTTATTTATAAAATTGTTTTATTAATGAAAATGAATTGAGAAGCATATCAGATATATGGCTTTTGCTAAATTCTTATTTAGATAAACTGCTAAGTTTTTGCTTTGTTTTCATCACAGGTACTATATAATAAATCAGAATTATTAAAGATAGTGTAAAAAAAAAACTGATAACCCTAATAAGAAATTGATAACTTAAAAAGTAAAACACAAAAGTATTAATTATAATTAACAAGTGCCGATTAAAAATATCCAGTATATGAGTTTAATTTAGTGAAAAAAATTATTTTTATTACTTATTCAAAATCAAATACCATAAATATCAGTTAAAGAAAGTCAATGAAAATGAATGTTATCACATACACTGAACCAATTTACAGTGTGGTACAATCGATTAACAAGTACAAAAACAAACGTTTTCGAACCCCTTCTGGGCTGTTCATCAGGTTTAAAGAGGAGATGATTTTGTCGATGGCCTGGCAAGAGTTGATACACAGCACGCTTTAGCCGCACGTTATATCCGAGCAGGCAGACTTGTCACACATGCGCGACGTATAAATTTAAAAGAACCATTCGAACTCAAGGACAAAGTTATTTGAAAAGCATTCGATAATCGAATTTTACGAGCTAAAACTGTAGGAACCTGATGAAGAGCCCAGAAGGGGTTCGAAAACATTTGTTTTTGTACTTGTTAATCGATCGTACCACACCGTAAATTGGTTCAGTGTATGTGATTGTTATATAGGTGTGGTGAGTAGTTAATTTTATGAGTGTTATCATAAAATTTCTAGAGTGATTTCAAAATCACTTAAATACAACTTCACAATAGATGTCAATTTATTTGAAATAAATTCAAAGTGTATAAAAGAAGCAGAGACATACCACATTTGTGAGATATAATATTTACTTAATTAATAAGTTACAACAGTGTTTTTCAACCTTCTTGAATACGCGACCCCTTTACAAGTTTAAAAATTCTGGCGACCCTCCAGGGTATATTAAAACTATATCAGTGATTTTAAAAACTACATATTTAATTTTCTTTCTGTTGAGACTTAAATATCGATTGAAAAACCAATTGTACTGTAAAATAAACAGGCACAGTTTCTCACTGAAATTGTAGTTTTTTTTATTGTACTGTAGGACCTACAAACATTTGTCTTTTTCTTTTACTGCGACCCCCCCATGTAAGACTTTGCAACCCCCTGGGGGTTGTGACCCACAGTTTGAAAAACACTGTGAACATTTCTTTATTATAATGTCCTAAAACATTTAAAACCCATAAGTTATAAAAATATATCACTATTCACAAAAAACTGTTCAATATATCTATTATTCCACACAAATGTAGACAAGGTTTTAGCATCACAAAATAAAACAAAAGTAGATTCAGATGTTATTGTAAAGAATAAAAACTTTATACATAAGGGATTTTAATTCAAGTAACTTTGAGATAACTGAAGCCAAAAATGAAAAATCTTTTACTGTCATAGAGTCAAATGCATTAATACTTTCTGACCTATGGTTGAGTCTTGTTCATCAAGGTATTTTTCTATAAACGATGAATGAAAGTCTCACTCATGCACAATTTTACCTGTTATTCTATAGAGCTGGATGGCTTAGACTTATCCATAGTCAATGTAAGAAGTACATTTAATGAAAATACTATCATTTCCACTATTAAGGGGTGCACATTGTATAATATTTTAATATTTTGTAAAATGGTTGCAGGAAGAAAATTATCAGTCAATAAAGCTTTAGATTTTATATGGTAAATCCTAGGTCAAAAATAAATAAATAGAAATACCAAAATAAGTGCTAAATAAAATGTTTGAAGCTTTTTTTTATCATAGTAGGTGTGAGTGATACATATCAGATTTTTTCAAATTTAAAAAAAAGGACATCTTATTATAACATTTTAAAACATTTCTTTTTAATGGTTATTCTATTAATTGTTTGAAGTTAATAAAAGTACAAAGCAACAAATCCCAAAATATTATGACATATACATTCATCTTCAGTTAATGACAACTGAAAATTACAATTTAATTCTTTTTACATGATTTCCAGTTATTGTTAACACAAAATCAAAGAATATATTATCATAGAATCATAGATTATTTCCACTACTATTAATTTAATTAATATTAAATAATTTAGAAAATTCTGGAAGTAAAGAATCAGCCCAGGGCAGTAAGATTTATAAATAAGCAAATAAATGAGAGTATACAAGTAATTATTATTTTCACTTTCAATATAATGATATTCTAAAAATAACATTTAGAGAATATCATATTTCTGCACATAAGCTACTTTTTGCTCATGTAATCATCTTTTAGTTGGGTACAATATTATATAATATTGTACCCAGCTGAAGAAGGATGAATATATATGTCCAAAATGCATATTGGAATCAATAAAAATGAAATTATAAAACCTTAAAGTCATTTGTGGTTGTTATAATAAGTTTGGTTTTGAGGTATATTAATAACCAATAGAAAATTAACTTCCTAATGTATTAACTCTTATGTCATTAGTAGCAACTTTATTCAGCTAAACTTTTGCCCTATGTTATTTATAAGAATAAGGGAAGAAATTCATTGCATTGGAAAAACATTGCAGATCCCACAATAATGTAACAGCAGCAAAACTAACAAGGATTGAGTCAATATTCAAATAAACACTTTGTAATCAATAATTTAAAATGTATAAAATTATAATTTAAATGACTTACCTCATCATTGTTAGTACCCTTGAAACTATGAACAGTTTTCACTAAATGTGCTCCAGTCTCACCTAACATGTTACTTCATTAATTTTAATTTTATTTAATTATACATTATCTTTTAGAACAACCATTATGAAGGAATTGGATGAAATTATTGTACAAATGTTATCTGGATAAAAATTAAAAAAAATAAAATAAAAAAAACATTAATTTAAAAACTTTATTATACAAATTTTTTTTAATATACATATTTGAAATAAATGTTGAATGAATTATATTTTAATTTAAAAAAAATTCATAAGTAATTTTTAATGCAACATATCTTAAACATTAATTTCATTTAATTTTAAATATTTAAACATTTTTTTAATATTTAATATGACTGTTTTATCTTAAAACAGTAATATTAAATATTCAATCTCTATGTGAATTATAGCAACTAAATTAAGTAAAACAATTTGATTAATTAAATTTTATTAAAAACAGTTAATATATTTCTCAAAAGATAAAAAGTAATCAAATTATAACTTTGGAAAAATTAAAAAAATCTCGTTAATATGATATTTTTAATTTTAGCTAATACATTATTTTAAAAAAACAGCTAAACTTATTTTACAATAGTTTGTACATGCATATTTAAAAATAAGAAAAAAAAACAACTGAAAATTACAATTTAATTTTTTTTACATGATTTTCAGTTATTGTTAACACAAAATCAAAGAAAAAAACGTCATAGATTATTTCCACTACTATTAATTTAATTAATATTAAATAATTTAGAAACTTCTGGAAGAAAAGAATCAGCCCAGAGTAGGATTAAAATGTTTATATATGTAGATTATTTTCATTTTGTTATGAAGAATTATTTTCAAAATTTTATGTTCTAAAACTCTATAATAAATGTTTTTCTTTATATAATTTATATTAATTTATTTCAATCAAATTTTCAGGGATGGTCCATGCAGATATGTTGAGCCCCATTCCTTACCTCCAAATTGTGAGCCTGGTCAAACTCTTAATAGGCTTGCTAAAAAAAAAAGGCTCTCTTAGCATCCACAGGGCAGAAAGATTTATAAATAAGCAAATAAATGAGAGTATACAAGTAATTATTATTTTCACTTTCAATATAATGATATTCTAAAAATAACATTTAGAGAATATCATATTTCTGCACATAATCTACTCTTTGGTCATGTAATCACTTTTCTAATGTATCTAATATCTAGAACCAGAAATTCATCTTTTTTTTGTATAATTTATTTTATTAAATTAGGCTTCTAAACATATTAATTGAAAGAAACAGTTCTGATAAAAAAATCTTCCACAACCATATTGCCTATATCTGTAAACAATACTAACAATGTATTTATGTTTATAATAATTCAGGGCTTTGGAGCGACCATTTTTTTGAGTTGCTCCGCTCCATCATCAAAGTATTTGCTCCAGCTCCGCTCCATGCTCCGGTTAAAATATTCTTATAGAAATTACACTAATTTTGTCTTTGG